GCATGTACCATCCCAGACCGTTTTCCATTGCCAGTTCTGAACGACCTGTTGCAGAACATCGGCGATAATAAGGTCTTTTCAAACTCTTGATCTTCTTCAAGGGTTCTGGCAGATCCCCCTCGATGATGAGAGTAGAGAGTTGACAGCTTTCTCTACTCCAACTGGTCATTACCAGTTCAGGAGGATGCCCTTCGGCTTGCGCGGAAGCCCAATCACGTTTAGTCGTTTGATGACGACAATTTTCCGTACCCTCCTAGGTGGCACGCTCATGGTCTACCTGGATGATCTCATAGTCATGTCGCAAGATGTCCCGTCACATCTTGAGAAACTTGACAGGGTATGGACAGGCTAGCTCAGGCAAATCTTAAGGTAAAGCTCTCCAAATGTCATTTCCTCCGGAAGGAAATAAAATTTCTGGGTCACGTAGTAACTCAGAATGGCATAAAGACGGACGAGTCTAAAATCTCGGCCGTGCAGAAATTCCCAGACCCATGACGGCGGATGCAGTCCGGTCCTTCATAGGCCTGGCGGGTTTCTACCGCACCTTTATCGCAGGTTTCTCCACCATTGCGGCACCCTGACACGCTTACTCAAGAAGGATGCCCCTTTTGAGTGGACGTGCGATCAGGAACGAGCTTTTGTCATTCTTAAGAACAAGTTAACATCAGCCCCAACCCTTAGATTTCCTGATTTCACCAAGGCATTTACCTTGACGACTGATGCCAGCAAAGTTGGCATCGGTGCAGTCTTGTCACAGGAATCTAATGTAAGCAACAGCCTATTGCCTATGCTAGCCGTGTTCTTACTAAAGCGGAAGTCAATTATTCAGTGACAGAGCTAGAAGCTTTAGCCATTGTATGGGCCTGAGTCATTTTCGGGATATCATCTATCATTATCCTATCAGATTTATACAGATCATTTACCCTTATTGGCCCTTTTTGCAAATAAGAACCTCTCGGGAAAGCATGCTCGTGGTCGCTCACGTTCAATGACTACAACCCTGAAATTTGCTATGTCCCAGGTAAGCAAAATGTTGTAGCTGACGCCCTGTCGAGACATATAGCATTAGTGAGTGTCGGCAATTCGTTCTCTGTTGAGGATCTCGAGAGAGCCCAACGACAGGACCCTGTGTGGTCTCCAGTCCTTCGTTTCCTTACCAAGGAGGACGTTGACTTACAGGTCAAGTCTCCCGTTCCACTGAAGGATTAGTGGTCAACCAAGGAGTACTGTGCCGTGTTGCACAGCTGGTGGACCCCGGCAGAACCGTATACCAACTGGTGATACCAGAGTCCATGATACCAGCTACTCTTAGGTTGATCCACAATGTCCCAGGTGTAGCGCACCCGGAAGGACCGCAGTATCAAACAGGCACGATGAAATATTTCTGGCCTAAGATGGCATCGGACATTGCCAAGCATGTACACCAGTGTGTTGTCTGCCTACAGCACAAGGGTACCATTACAGGTCCTAACCCATTCTAAAGTATCCCATTACAAAGGAGCCCTGGGAGAGAACTTCTGTCGACCTGTTGACGAACTTCTCGACCTCGGAGAAGGGAAATAAGCACCTGCTTGTAATGGTAGATAACTTGACGCGGTACAGTGAATTAGTAACCCATCCTGATAAAACCGCGGAAACGGTCGCTAGTGCTTTCCGTGAGCATGTTGTTCTTCGTCATACTTGCCCACGTGTCCTCCTGTCAGACAATGGGTCTGAGTTTATAAATGGCATAATGCAGGATCTTTGCTCCAGATTCAACATTCATCAAGCGCCAGTAGCTCCACGCCACCCTGCGAGTAATGGTCTTGCTGAACGTACAAATCGCAAAGTTCTGGAGGTGCTCAGAGTAACCGTTAACCCAAGTTGTACTACATGGGATGAGGCTATCCCAGATGTTCGTGTACATTAAATTCCTCCTCAACAGCTCGATCGGTGAGACACCTCATTTTGCTTTGTATGGTTATGACAAGCGCTTACCATATGAAATTCTGTTTACTCCACCTAGACCACTTACGATACTGATAACCCCAGTGTAGTAAAGATGAGGACAACGCAGCTTGTCTTCCAGCGGGTACGAGAGAACCTATGAAAGCCACTGATAGGTTCACGTCAGAGCGCAATGCCCGCGCAAGGAAAGCAAAGTGGAACCAGGTTGCAAAGTTATGTTGCTCAACCCAGTGCAGACCCCAGGTATGCACAAACTTGTCCCAAAGTTTGTGGTCTTACCGTGTCCTACGACAGCTCCGTGGCAATAAGTTCGAGGTGAGGGAGATTGCTACGGGAACTATCAAGGAAGCCCACCTTGATCACATGAAGTATGTGGACCATATGCAGGCCGAAGTAGAGCTGGAGGCGCGTGCGTTGCAACGCCACGATCAGATAATGTTAGGGACAAACCGTCTATCCCTTCTCCCACTACTACTGGTACGGAAGACGGCCCAGTAAGGCTCCATACTTATGGCCTGCGACCCAGGACAACAGTACATTTCTGTGACATTGACGTACCTACTGACTTGTCCGACTCCTACGCTAGTTATGCCAATTGTTTGCTTGCAGAAATGGGTATAAATGCACACACATTGTATAGCTAGTCGATAATAGAGTCAGGGTGGACAACATCATGTAATTATGTAAATACTTTTAGAAGGGTACCCAGAGTGTAATGAATTCCATGGATATAGTATTATTGTACGTATGTGCACCAGTGTTTTTTTTTAACTAAAGGAAAAAAGCCTGTATTACGGTCAGGGCAGTGCTGCCCTCTGAGTTACATGTCACACCTTAGGAAATGCTACTGTCAGTCATTGTTTGCAGATGTGAGCGTGCAACAACGTTAGTAGACGAGTGGTCAACTGATGTTCAGCCCTGCGGACAACCTGTATATAGAAGATTTTAGTTCCAGTGCTGACGTCTCCTGGCTCTCTACTCGATGAAACAGCGCGGCAAACCAGTTTTCTCTTCCCCTGGATGGGAGAGTTTTTTTTTGCCTGTTGCATTTTTTTTGTCCATTTTTTATTTACTAGTGAGCGAAAGCCAGTCCCTCTCTGGGGTAGCTAGTGTAATTCCTTTATACCTATGGGCCCACCAGTATTGTCGCGTCGGGACGACGCGAGGTGCATGGCCGAGCAAATGTAGACAGCCTGTACTGTCAGAGCACACAGCATAGCCGTCTGCTCTGACTAGTTCATATTTCGCGGCATTCAGTGCTGCCTCTGTAGGCTACCTGGTCGGTGGGACGCACAGTCCCCCTTCTCACTCCCGCCTCGACCGACTTGAGTACACAAGTACTCCCCTCCACGGACTGGCTTGCGGTCACTTCTCACACTGCCGTTGTGTACCATCTACCCGATTAAGCAATCTAGTCCACGGCCGTATCATTTCTACTCGCTACCTTCATCGGCACTAACCGCTGTTCAACAGCAAGAACAGCAATAACAAGAAGACCGCAACGGAGTACAGTCTAGGGGGTCAGAGACTACAACTATCACTCAAGGAAAAAGAATCTTGGGGTGAGTTATAACACCAGGCACATCTCCTGAAGCACACATCAACCAAATAATGCTGCAGCATATGGGCGCCTAGCAAACCTCAGAACAGCATTCCGACATCTTAATAAGGAATCGTTCAGGACCTGTACACGTGTACGTTAGGCCATATTGAGTAGCGGCACCAGTTTTGGAACCCACACCTAACCAAGCATGTAAAGAAAACTAGAGAAAGTGCAAAGTTTGCAACAAGACTAGTCCCAGAGTTAAGAGTATGTCTATGAGAAGAGGTTAAGGGAAATCAACCTGACGACACTGGAGGACAGGAGAGATAGGGGGGGGCATGATAACGACTTACAAATACTGAGAGGAATGACAAGGTGGACAAAGACAGGATGTTCCAGAGACTGGACAAGGCAACACGGGACACAGATGGAAGCTGAAGGACACAGATGAATCAAAGGGATGTTAGAAGTATTTCTTCAGCCACAGAGTAGTCAGTAAGTGAATAGTTTGGGAAGCGATGTAGTGGAGGCAGGATCCATACATAGCTTTAAGCAGAGGTACGATAAAGCTCATGGTTGGGGAAGTGACCTAGTAGCGACCAGTGAAGAGGCGGAGCAGGAGCTTGGACTCGACCCTGCACCTCAACTAGGTGAGTACAACTAGGTGAGTACACACACACATATACAGACACACATACATAGTTTTAAGACGAGATTTGATAAGCTCATGGAGCAGTGAGAAAGAGGACCTAGTAGCAGTGAGTGAAGAGGCGGACAAGGAGCTAGACTCGACCCTGCAACCACAAATAGGTGAGTACAAACAGGTGAGTACTCACACACACTTGTTTTAACAAGCTGCATAAATTACACACCATTATCACGAAGAAATTATGTAAATGAAAGTGCTGGAAACAGTAAATGTAGTGCCTAAGTACAGATCCACTTCACAGATGGAAGCATCTTCCAGGCAGACTTTAGCAACCTGGCTAGAAAACACAGTATCAGTGATCACTGTTTACTTTTCGTTTAATTTATGTAACACTCGCCTTGTGTATTAAGCGGCAGGTGTTTCAAACACTACGTGTATCAGAACAGATGTTCAAACTCTGTGTACAACCTGCGTGGCAGAGCAGATGTAACGAATAGCAGTGTGTGTGGCAGAGATCAGCTCTGAACACTAGTACACTTCAGGGTGGACATTTTGTCCTCACACACGACTGAACAAACATTCTGATACGAGAGTCGTGACCCACTTGAGATTAGCCAAACATTCTCACAATCTTATACATGTGATCTCAGGCAAGAGTGGTCACATATACTCACTAGAGACTTCACATTCTTCTCCAAACTCTGTTACATGTTCATGAGATCAGATACACATCTCAAACAACCGTGACCAAGCATTTTCAGACAAATATGGTTAACCATCTCACTTAAGTGTATCTTTACATAATTAACAAGTTACCGATGTCTGTAAGAAAGAAGTGGTAACTTACCAGCAGTGCACAACGTAAAGAAGACCAAGGCGTAGAAGCAGTAGTGGATCTCCAGACCAGTGACGTTCACATTCAGTAAGGAACGACCAACCCGTGGATCTCCAGACCAGTGACGTTCACATGCAGTAAGGAACGACCAACCAGTGGATCTCCAGACCAGTGACGTTCACATGCAGTAAGGAACGACTAACCAGTGGATCTCCAGTCCAGTGACGTTCACATGCAGTAAGGAACGACCAACCAGTGGATCTCCAGACCAGTGACGTTCACATGCAGTAAGGAACGACCAACCAGTGGATCTCCAGACCAGTGACGTCCCCATACAGTAAGGAACGACCAACCAGTGGATCTCCAGACCCGTGACGTCCCCATACAGTAAGGAACGACCAACCAGTGGATCTCCAGACCAGTGACGTCCCCATACAGTAAGGAACGACCAACCAGTGGATCTCCAGACCAGTGACGTCCCCATACAGTAAGGAACGACCAACCGTGCAGCAGAAGCTTCAGTAACATCACTACAGTACAGCACAATGAGACCAGTCATCACTGCCGCAGCTGTGATTATCATAGCAGTGTGTGTCAACACCCAGACTCAGGTAATATCACTAATCCTCTTTCCTCAAAAACACATAAGAACAAACCTACTAAAGAAATTCTCTCAACCCAATATCAATGTTACCCAGAAACCCACAAGCTCGTCAGGTTACGTATTTTTTGACTCACTGGGAAGGTAGGCAGCATTATTACCTCACAAGCTGCGTCAGGTTTACGTATTTTTGACTCACTAGGAAGGTAGGCAGCATTATTACCTCACAAGCTGCGTCAGGTTACGTATTTTTTGACTCACTAGGAAGGTAGGCAGCATTATTACCTCACAAGCTGCGTCAGGTTACGTATTTTTTGACTCACTAGGAAGGTAGGCAGCATTATTACCTCACAAGCTGCGTCCAGGTTACGTATTTTTGACTCACTAGGAAGGTAGGCAGCATTATTACCTCATAACAGAAATGTACTTTATATCAGCGTTATTCAATTTCTAACTTTTTGAAATTCAGTTTGTCTTATTTTCGTTCTATTATAACTATCCTTACATATCCATAATCCTCGTTTTCCCTGATGCACAACGAGGTTTCACATTGCAAGTTACTGTACTTGGCTGCCATGGATTTCTCACTTGCGAAAATTTAAAATAAATCTCCCTCCTATGTATATTAAATTTGTATTTAAACTAATAGACCCATTAACAAGCAAACTTATACTACTCCTCCCGCTTCTCCTGCTCCTGCTTCTCCTCCTGTTTCTCCTCCTCCTCTCGTTGATATTAATGGTACCTAATCCACTTCCTGTCCTCTGCAGTACATAGTTGATGATAACACTAAGGTACATCCAGGTACGTACATAGAAGAAAGGTTTGACGAGAGTTAGATCCTCTATAAACTAACTCTGGTCATGTTACTGACAAGATTTTTAATAATTATTTCCTCTTGGTTTTTTACATAAGACACAAACGATATCCCAGTAATTAATTTTTATAGTGGGACTAGTAAAATAAATTATGTTAGATAAATGGACACAAGTGAAACTAATGTGAAAATTTTATTGTGGCAACTTTTTCGCTCTCCAGGAGCTTTGTCAAGCCGAAATAAAGTGTGACATAAGTTGCATCTGTTTGTCAGTCAAGTCAGTAAGTCAGTCAGTCAAGTCAGTAATTTGTCAAGTCATTCAGTCAGTCAGTCAAGTCAGTAAGTTAATTAAACGGGTTGACAGATTAATGCAAACTAAACCCTGAAGAACTTTTTTCAATGGTTTTTTAAATAGCGCAAAATGGAACTTTGCGAACCATTAACTAACATTTTTCATAAATATTTTCAAATAGGCGTAGTGTATGAGATGTGGAAGATAACAAATGTAATTCCTATGTTTAAAGTAGGGGATAAGTCATTACCATAAAACTACCGCCCAATAAGCCTGACTTATTTGGGCAAATTTCTTGAATCAATTAATAGATGATTTTATAAGAAGCCATCTTGATAAGTATAATTTGATTTATGATACTCAGCATGGATTTACGAGGAGCAGTTCCTGTCTCACTAATTTATTGACTTTCTTTGGATTTTAATGGAGCTTTTGATAGAGTAGCACACATACGACTTTTAAAAGAAAGTGGCAGCTCGTGGTATTGGATAAAAGTTCTGTCGTGGATCGAGACGTAGCAAACGAACAGGAAGCAGTGAGTCTGAATGAATGGTGTGAAATCTGAGCGGGAATCAGTCACAAGTGGCGTTCCACAGGGAGCAGCTTTAGGTCCTCTGTTCATAATATACATTAGACAAAGAACAGGCAAGATAATTCCCTTCAGAGGAAGATGTAACTGAACTTAAGGCGGATTTAGAAAAGCTCATGTTATGGTCTAAAAGTTACACATGCAGTTCGGTGTAGACAGAGCAAAGTTACACATGCTGTTCGGTGTAGACAGATGCAAGTTACACATGCAGTTCGGTTGTAGACAGATGCAAAGTTACACATGCAGTTCGGTGTAGACAGATGCAAAATTCTGAAGCTCGCGAATTTAAATATCTTCAGCACTTATAAACTAAATAATATAGAACTTGGTCATACAGAATGAGAAAATGTCTTGGAAATTACGATAAACAAGAACTGAAGGAAAGACAGCAATACCTAAGTGTTCGTAATAACACAGACAGATTACTGAGATTCATACAATTATTCAGGCCTGAATATGATTATGAAAACAATTAAACAAACTAAATCTGTATTCAAGAGTACTTGAAGAATACAAGTTGGAACTTAGCCACTTAACGAGCCTACTTAACTCACCAAATTAAGGCGCAACAAGCCTAATGTCTTATAGTAGGCAAATTATTAGAACCAGCTAATGTTTGTTAGTGGGATGAATTGTGAAGGACCTGATGAAGATTGAGACACTTATGCAGCAGGCCAGTAGGCCTGCTGCAGTGTTCCTCCTTTCTTATGTTCTTATGTTCTTATATAAGAAATCACTTTAATGAGCATAATTTGATTAATGAGTCTCAGGACGGATTCACAGAAGGTCGTTCCGCCTGACAAATTTACTGGCATTAATAAAGCATTTGAGGCAGTGGACAACGACAACACATATGATGTAGTTTATTTGGATATCAGTAAAGCCTTCGACAGCGTACCTCACTAAAGACTGTTAAGAAAATTGGCAGCTCATGGTAGAGGCATGACTGACCATTAGGAGGCAGAGAGTTCCATTAATGGGGTCAAGTCTGAACGGTGACTGGTGACTAGTGGCGTTCCTCAAGGACCAGTTTTGGCTCCAGTGTTTTCCATAATTTACATTAATGATCTTAATGAAGGAATAACGAGTGACATGAGTAAGTTCGTTGATGACACAAAAATAAGCTGAATAGTAGATTCTGAATAGCATGCCACGAATTTCAGCAGAATGTAGAGAAATTAATACCATGATCTGAAAAGTAGCAGATGTAGTTCAGTGTGGACAAGGTGATGTAGAGCTTAATTATACAGAATGTGAGAAAGACTTGGGAGTCATTGTAAACAAAAATCTAAAGCAAAGACAACAGTGCATCAGTGTGCGCAATAAGGCTAACAGATTACATGGATTTATTTTAAGTATAAATAACAGGAGTTTAAAAGTTATTTTACAGCTGTACCCATCACTAGGACAAAAGTAAAGGGAAAAAAAGTGGAACCGCTGAGAACTGGGGATGGAAAACTAACTGATAATGAACATTCAGCGTGTTCTCTGTTTGTTAGGTAAGACAACATATGCAACAGTTAGGTATCTTTATTTCGAACGTTTCGCCTACACAGTAGGCTTCTTCAGTCGAGTACAGAAAAGTTGATAGAAGCAGAAGATACTTGAAGACGATGTAATCAGTCCATCACCCTTAAAGTTTTGAGGTGGTCAGTCCCTCAGTCTGGAGAAGAGCATTGTTCCATGGAATGAAACAATATTGTTTCGGACTACGGAACAATACTCTTCTCCAGACTGAGGGACTGACCACCTCAAAACTTTAAGGGTGATGGAATGATTACATCGTCTTCAAGTATCTTCTGCTTCTATCAACTTTTCTGTACTCGACTGAAGAAGGCCTACTGTGTAGGCGAAACGTTTCGAAATAAAGATACTAACTGTTGCATATGTGTCTTACCTAACAACCTGTCGGTATTTTATACCATTTTAATGTTCTCTGTTTAATGATTATCTCTTGTCAGTGTTTACACAAAAAGACTTAAATGGTATCCCAGAAATTAACAATTATTGTTTTTGAAGAAAACAAATTAAGTAATATTACTGCCACGAGGGAAATGATTATGAAACAGTTAATAAAGTGAAGCACAATAAGTCCCAGGAGCAGATGAATTATTTTCAAGGTTGCTTGAGGAATGTAAGATGGTGTTTAATGCGTCCATCCAGACTGGTGTTGTGCCACAGATGTGGAAGATGGTTAATGTAATCTATATATAAATCAAGGATAAGTCAATTCCACTAATAATTCCATCCAATAAGCCTGACTTCTAACAGCAGGCAAAGTATTAGAATCAATTATAGCTGATATTATTAGAGGTAACCTTGAAGAGCATAATTTGTTCAATGAATCTCAGCATGGGTTCATGAGAGGTCCTTCCTGCCACACAAATTTACTGATGTTCTTTAATAAAATAGTTGAGAGAGTTGAGATTGATAAGGAATATGATTTTTATTTGGATTTTAGTAAAGCCTTCGATAGAGTACCTCACAAAAGTGGCAGCTCATGATATAGGAAGTAAAGTTCTAACATGCATAGAGACATGGCTTAATAATAGAAAGCAGAGTTTCCATTAATGGGGTCAAATCTGAATGGGGATTAATCACTAGTGGCGTCCACAAGGATCAGTTTTATACCCTCTTTGTTTATAATTTACATTAATGACTTGATGAAGGGATTACGAGTGACATGAGCAAATTTGCTGATGATACAAGGATAGGCCGTATGATTCATTCTGAGGAGGATAGCAATGAACTCCAGGAGGATTTGGACAAATTAATGTCTTGGTCTGAAAAGTGGCAGATGAAATTCAATGTGGACAAGTGTAAGGTACTAGTCCTTGGTAATGAAAATAACCCTGGAAGCTATAATCTAGGTGAAGTAGAACTTGATCATACAGAATGTGAAAAAGACTTGGAGTCATGGTAAGCAGAAATCTAAAGCCAAGTGAAACGTTAGACGCATTTGAAAGTTAGACACTTGTGCAACATCTGGGTATCTTTATTGTCGACGTTTCACCATCCAGTGGCTTTATCAATACAAATTCCAGGACATAACTGGAAGACAGTAGAACTAAAGATAACCAGATGTTGCACAAGTGTCAAACTTTCATCTTGTTGGTTACTGTGTAGCAACAAGTGTGCGCAACAAGGCTACCAGATACTAGCATTATTTCAAGAAGTATAAATAACAGAAGTCCAAAAGTTATTTTACAGCTCTATACATCACTATGGAGACTCACTTAAATATGCTGCTCAGTTTTGGTCTCCTTACTACAGGATGGAGATAAATTCATTGTAGACATACAAAGAAGAATG